CTTAGATTATGAACGTGTTTGTCTCCGGTCTTTAACGTCAAGCAGCGTCGTGCTTGACTTTTTTAAAATCGGATTTCGGAGTTTTTTTTCTTTTTACATCGTTTACATCGTGCCTTGTTTAGTTCCTATATGCTCTATTGCGGGATCATTCCAATACACACGACGAACTTCGTTCATTCGTTGTATTTTTCTACACTGGATGGCGCTCTTCAACTATGCGGTATGGAACTTTTCATCTGGGAAATAACTTCCCCAAGACAGGACCGCTGGCGATTTCCCCAATCGAACCAAGTGAAAACACACTGACCGTCCTTCTAGTTTGTATCTTAGACTTGCGCATTGTATCCTCCTGCACTTTCTCCAGGTTATTCCAGGCTTCACGTCGTAGATGTTGAAGTTGTTGCGGAGATAAATCGTTTCGCGGCCAACTGCCAACAATGAGATCCACTGGTAGCTTCGGAATTCTTCCCGAACATCAGTTGAAATGGTGTATGTTTGGTACTGGCTTGTGTGGTCAAGCGGTAAGCCAAAAGTAGGGAAGTTAGGGCCGACTCCAAATCCCCTCCTTTCGCTGTCAGTCATTCTTTGATTGTTCTGTTATTTCGTTCGGTGAGGCCGTTGGTTTGTGGGCGATAGGGCGTTGTGCGTATCTTTTTTATGCCTAATTTCTGTAAGCACGTGCGAAATTTATCACTCTCAAAGCACGGACGTTGATCCGTAAGGATGGCTTGCAGCAAGCCATGATTTGCCACGATATAGTAGCTTTTGGATCTACAACTCCTTAAGTTTCTGTTCGACGTTTGAAGTGCTCCATTAGTATTAGTGTCCTCTGGGGGACATTGGAAGTGGACCCATGAGGTTTATGGATCCTAAATAATCGATCTCGGATACTGGTATTGACTGAATTGGATGATGGGCGAATGTCAGACTTGAAAAGTTGGCATTTTTCACAATCCAGCACCTGGGTTGTCACATCGGCCTGCATGTTTGACCAATAAGCCCGCTGTAGAAGCAGATCTTAGGTTCGAGTGCAACCAGTGTGCGCCAGTTCATGACTTTCTTTAATAAGGATTTGGTATAGCTGTTTTGGAATGACTACTAGAGGACATGTTCTTCCCGGCTGTCGTTTCATCAAGATATCAGCTGCATTCAAACAAAGCTGCTTCCATACGGATTTCCATGATTTCATGTGTGTACTATGTTGAATGTTCTGGTATTGCTGGCCTTTTGGGATTGCTTCGACCATCTTGCGGAGTTCCTGTTCCTTGCGCTGTTCCTTCACCAAATTGTGCGGGTCTTGTCCCACTGTCAGCATAATGACACTGAAGAAATCTGTTTCCTCCTGAAGAGACAAAATATCCGCCATACAGTTTTCGGCACCTGCAACATGATTGATCGTGAAGTTGTACTCCTGCAGCCAAATCACCTATCGGGTTAGTTTTCCTCTCGAGTCCTTGGCGGTTTTAATTTACTCCAGCGGCTTGTGGACCGTTTCTATATAAAAACTTTGACCCAGAAGATATGGTCCTCACTTATCAATTGCCCATACGATTGCAAGAAATTCTTTTTCCGTGGTGGACTATTTCCTTTCCGTCGGAGTAAGGAACCTGGTTGCATATTCAACCACTCCATTTGCTTGTTTGAGTACGGCTTCCACTCCAACGACACTGGTATCCGTCACAATTGTGAAGCGCCGACCAACCACCGGCAAATTCAGCACCAGGTGTTTTTCGGTCATGATCCTTTGGAGTTCATCGAAAGCTTTTTGAGCTTCTGGTGACCATCGAAAGGCTCAGCAATGGTCGTAAAATTTTTAACGAACGGGCTTTAGTATGCGGCACAGCCCAGAAACCGTCTTAATGTTCCCTTCGATGTTTGGCGTGCAAACTCCTTTAAATTGAGGACCTTCTCAGGAAGTTATCTCACTTCTCCGTTTCCAACCTTGTGCCCAAGTAAAGCCACCGCCGGCTACCAAATTTGCGAATTCGACCCAAAAATACGAAGGCCAGCATCTTTTGGATTCTTTTCATAAAGCTTTCCAAGGGGAGTATATGTTTTCTTGTTATTTGACTGTGGACAACAATATCGTCAACATGCACCTCCACGTTAGGGACACCATCGAGTACCTTCAACATGAGGAGGCGGAATGTAAACGGTGCTCCTGATATTCCGAGTGGCATTCGTTTGAACTGATATTATCTGTTGCCCACTGTGAACGCCGTTTTCTCTCGGTCGGCTTTCTTTATTGGTAATTGCCAATATCTCGGTCATAGGTTCACAACTGAGAACACTTGTATTTTGCAGTTGGTCAACAATACCTGCCACAGTCGAGACTGGAACTGGTTTTTTGACCAGCAGCACCAGTGAGTTACATGGACTTCGAGTTTCTTCAATGATTCCTTCCTTCAACATTTGTTCAACCTGCCGCTTGACTTCGTCCTCCAAGTGTAGTGGAATTTAGCGTGAAACATAGGCTCGAAATTTACCTGTCTTCTTTGGGATTTCCGTGTTTGACCCAGTTACAGAACCCATAGGGGGTCATCATCGCCTGTGAACGAGTGGGAGTATCGTTGCATCACTAGCCGAACTGAAGGAGATACATTCGTGTGAGTTGTTTCCGTACTCACGGTTGCCAACCTCTTCCCTTTGGAGCGTAACAGCTGGATCGTGCTGAATTTGGTAACAAGCTGTTCGTTGTTCAGATCAACCACGACCCTTAAATTGCGCAATATGTCTGCTCCCACTATAGTCTGGCTCGTGTCTTTTAATATGGCAAATGGATGCTTGATTATCTTGTCTCCAATGCGGACTGTTCGTTTGACTACTCCGTCTACTTTCAACTGTTAAACACCGACTGTTTTCATCACTGTATTTCATGTTTCCAGGGGCTCATTTACTTGGGATCTTACCAAAGATATCGCCTCACCAATATCGATTAGGCATAGCTATTTCCGACCCCCCATCTATAAATGGACATAGATTGCACCGCGATCTACTGCTCCTATAATAGCGATGTTTGAGAAGACGGATGTGCTTTTCCTAAACCGGCTTCTAGAGAGAACGTTTTTTGTGTCCTTCTGGGCGATTCCTTCGCCAGTGACCCAGGTTACCGAAATTGAAAGTATGCATTCCTGATCTTCCTTAGTCCGTAGTTAGACTTCAGTGCCGCCACTTCTTCAATCAGCTATTTCAGGGCTGCCCTAACATCCTTTGTCGGCCGTCATTTTAGGACTTCGTGGGTCTAGAAAGTCACAATTTCGTGATCGACGAACTGCCTCACGGCTTCAACCAGCGTGAATACATCCCTGACACACCCCATGTGGATAATTCTCGTCTTTTCCCTTAGATCATCCGGCAGACTCTCCACGAAACGCTCCAGCAATAATTCTGAACGAGCGAACTCATTTACCGTTGGCAGCGCTCTATTCAAAATGATGCATATGGCCAAGATATGCGACAGGGGGTCCACGACAACACCCAGATGTGCCGTCCTGATGCTCCGCAACGCCTCCTGGCGGTCGGTCGAGGTGGAAAAACCCTCGATTATGGTGTCCTTTGCAGTGACTCACTCCACCATCTTCTGTTCGCGCCGCATCCAACACCACCTGCGCTCGGCCCATGAGAAGCACTCGGAGGGCGGTCAACCGTATCCCCGCCAGCTCCGCGAAGTTCCCGAACTCCTCCAGGAACGTCCGCGCGTCTCCATCCTAGAAGACTTCAGGCCAGGGAATCTTCATCTTAGTGACGGCACCAGATTTTATAATTCCACAAGTAGTGCCTGATCCAGGAAAGTTATTTGTGACGAGTAACGGTCAGAGTATCAGTCAATTGTCATTCATACCACGAAATATCTTATTTCGAGCGGGTCTGCAGAATTCTCACACACACGCAAGCAGGATAGTTAACGGAACTGGTGGATCACCAGTACATGCGTATTTGTGTATTTACCATTCCGAACAGCAGAAATTCGCTCCAACAGGTCTTGCTCATTCTCGACCGTTAAAATAAGCTGATAACCACATCTTTACGAGCTACTCACAAATGTGAGTAGTAACTCCCAACACTATTACTGCCATTATGACCATCTTTACTGTTCCCTGGTTTCAAAAAGTAGCTGAGTGTATAAGCCCGATTGAAGAGAGACGGACAGATAGATAGACAAACAGACAGAAAGACAGACAGACAAGTGATACAATACGCTGAATGGATGCCTGGATTTCTGATGTTATGTATCAATACGCATAACCGATTATGCAAATAGCGTTCAGTGTTGATTTGCGTTTCGCACGCTTCAGTTTCGACTCGATCGTCACTGTGCACACCTTTCCGTTTGCCCGATCAGTTCGGGGTGCATTTTCTTTCGGATAGTGATGATGTGTTGTGAGCACTGTTGACGAGGTCTCAGTTGCGGTTGCGCTGCTGGTGGTGGTGGTGGCTGCTGCTACTGCTGCTGGTTAGTGCTGTTGGTTGTGCTCACAATGACCTTGAGACGGTGAGACCTTTGCGGACAGATGGAAGCACCTGATTGCGTACGGTTTCATAGGTTTGCTGAGGCCAGTGTTTTCATCGTGTGTGTGTGTGTGTGTGTGTGTGTACGTCCAGGTTCATATTAAAATAATGTAGTCAGAAAGTGTCATATCCAAACACCTGTATCAGCACACAACACCGCATGCACGTTCACACACACACACACACACGCACGCAGACAAGCCAGTGTGCACGTGGACAGAATTATGCAAAGCAAATGATTTTCACAGAATGAACGCTGGTTCGGAGGCCAATGTGTGAACCTGTGCACGCATGCGTGCGTGCGTGCGTGCGTGCATGCATGCATGTGTGTGTGTTACACGTAAGCAGAAGTATTCGGGATCAAATAAAACTGAGTTGTTCCGGGGGCTGGGCACCAGCAAGTACATCGTTCTCAACTCGCTCAACTCACCACAAACTGTCACACATCCAGTCACGTCTGACTGTCCATTTGTGAGTTAATTACTCACCCAATGGCTCAGGGATCTAGTCCGTCCCCAGTGGACAAAAAAGCAATTGTTATGGACGAGTTGGAATGTGGTAGTCCGGACACAGAGACAGCTGGATTTCAAGTGGAAAATTTCAAATATCAAGTATTCAGTGAAACCACTTCATCCATTCCCGTGACCAGTCCCGGGACTGGGACTTTTATGCATCGGTGGCGTTGGAATCAGCCCCGTCTGATTGTGCGTCGCCTGATTAACAATGTGAAAACATTTCCTACCAAATCAAGTAATCAGTTAAAATCCCTAAAACGTTTCAATCCATGGCATTTGTGTTTGATCGGGTTTGCATTTGCTATACTCCTACTCTTCCTTATCCTGATTTGTGTCCAGTGGGGTAAATTGTATCATGAACAATGGCTTCGACAGCATCAGTGTTTGAACAGTAAATGTTTGACTGCGGCCGCTCAGTTGCACAGTCGATTAAATCAATCAATCGAACCGTGTGAAAACTTTTATCAGTACGCGTGTGGATTACAATTTCACCCGTTTCATCTCCCATTCGAACCGGATAGTCCGAACGCACAGGATTCACAAGCGTATCGGCCCCAGTTGGACTCCACTGTGGTGATGCAATTGAACGAGGAACGAGGGAAATCGTTGCTCCGCGTTCACAGACCATCTATTGAACATTTAACTGATTTGAATATTCACGCTCTGATTACCGCATTGAAAACAGTCTACTGGTCCAGCAAATGGAAATCAACTTCGGCCAAGTACAAAATTTCCCGCTGGTTTCGATCCTGTTCCTCGCGTACCATACGTGATTGGTTTGGTAATGAGGCATTTTTCCGCAGTGCCGTAACAGCCCTAGGCGGCATGTGGTTGGTCGATCGAACAGCAAGCAATGAGACCGGGGTTGGTGAGATGAACAGCACCCGAGATTGGCCCTATCTGATGTTTACCAGTTCAGGAACAANGAAAAAAATACCTGTGCTGCAAAACTGGTCCTGGTTTGAGGCGGCCAATCGGTTGCACTCTGACTTCCACGTCCCGGTGTTTATAGATTTCCGGCTGTCGAGGAAACGGGGTCAGCGACCACCGCTTTTGGTAAGTATTGCACCGAATAAACAGACCAAAGTGATGAACACCTGAAATCACTATTAATCAACTGAATTTTTGTGTGATTAACGATTAGCTTTGAGTGATGCTCCGATTTGTATTGTTTTTGATGTTAGTGGAGTTGCTGTTGTTGCTATTGTTATTGGTGGTGGTAGTGGTGGTGGAGTTAGTAGTGGTTGTGGTATTGGTATTGGTGGTACTGGTGGTGATCGTCGTGGTGGTGGTGGTGGAAGTGGTGGTAGTGGTAGTGGTGATGGTGGTGTTGTCGGTATTGGTCATGGTGGCATTATTGGCATCGTTGTTGTTGGTGGTGGTGGTGGTGGCATTGGACGTTGTGGTCGTAGTTGTGGTGGTGGTGGTAGTAGTGGTCGCCGTGTTGGTGGTTGGTTATCGTGGTGGTGGTGGTGGTGGTAGTGGTGTTGGGGTTGGTGGTAGTGGTAGTGGTGGTCGTCAGGACTCGAACCGCGATCAGTCAGGTCGGGACATCAAACCCTTACCCCTGAGCTATATGGTCGAGTCCCAAACAGGACGAAACAGCTGTCCAGTGCTCTTTGTCGGTTATCACAAACATTTTCATCGCATTGCAAATGCATGAACTCATAGGGAATGAACGATCTCCCAAACAGTGAAACCCACATGCACAAGTGCCTGGTACTTCTTAACAATCGAATGGTCTAATCCAAGCTTGCTACCGTAAACTTATTTCAGGCTATTCGGCAATATCTGTGATAGTGGATTTAAGCGGGTATGATAGGTTTTGAAGGATCGATTTTAAATTTCATCAACATTATGTTAGACGGGAAATGTCTGCTAGGTTCTCTTTGCAAGCACCACAAGCACTGTTTATGAACTTGGGTGTGTGGTTTCACTTCTTGGGAGATCGTTAATTCCCCACGCTGTAAATGCCTTTAAATATGATGGAAATGTTTGTGATGATCGACAAAGAGCCTAGGGACAGAGCTGTTTTTTCTGTCTGGAACTCAGTCAGTAGTGCGCGTACTTTTTGTATCCCCGTGTCAGGACTCGAACCGACCTGAACCTTCGGGTCGGGATATCAAACTCTTATCGTTGAAGGTCATCATCAAAACCGAATGGGCTAATCCAAACATTTCCTGATCAGCATCATCTTTATAAATACCAACAGATGTGGAAAATCGTGTTCACGAAGAACTTTCTTTTCGATGTATCGCATCAGGCGGTGACATATGTACGGCAATCATAGTACTGATATCCGATTAGCTGATTACAGATCATTTGATAACGATGACAGTGGTGAGCAAACGAAACAAGCGAATTCGACAACGCTAGCGCTGGTCAGTGCTAAAGTCTTGAAAGGGGTGAGAGGATAAAGTGCGAATGAAATAACGGACAGGATGTAGACTGATTAGGATGAAAATTGTGAGCTAAGTTGGAAGAGCAGGATGAAGTCGCGTAATATACGCTGTAGATATTGCCAAGATGAATACGTCAGGTATATATATATATAGCAAATGAAGCGTGGACTGAAAAGCTAGGAAGCACTGGATAGCTGTTTTTGACTCGGTTGGGTCTCATCAGCAGTGTGCAAATCCATCGACCCAACTGGGGATCGAACCCGGGCCCACACAGGCAGAACACAGGTAGAATTATCCACTCGGCCACCGGGCAGCTGATCAGACCGTTTTTCATTTTCCATTTACACGATATATCATAACCCAGTTGGGTCGATGGATTCGCGCTGTTGATGAAGCCCAATCAGGTCGAAACAGCTGTACAGTAGTGCTTCCTGGCTTTTCAGTTCATGCTTCATTTGTTATATACACGACGAATTCCAGTTTGAAATTGAATCAAATCCTCCATTACTCCATTGATACTATAGACATGTCATGCATAGCTCGTGATGTAATCGGAAAGAAACAGTAGATGGGAAACATAATAATTGACTGTTAAAATTGTGGTAAATGATGGTGGATTGGAGGGAGAGGATGATCGATGCTCTCTGCTTCATACGCAATCAATCTACAGATGTGACACAGACATGGCATTGAAAGTGTTGAGTTGCTATGCCGATTAGTTTTATGCGCAATGGACTGAAAAAAAGAAGACGCTCAGGGTGTTTGATCACACAGCCCGTTTGCTCCTTGTTGCTCCGATTGAACAGTGTCCTATCCCATTGATCAGACACGTACGAACGATTCAACTTGCCCAAGGGCTCCGTGATCCCTGTGGTGCAACAACGACGACAACAACAACAACAAAACTTGTGCGGGTTCATCTGACAATATTTAGTCGAATCTGCTTTCTGCGGATCAGAACTATCTTTTGACCAACGGTCATTTGATGGTAGAATGATTAATTTGTGACTTTTGGACGCGTCGACGAAATCCGCCCTGTAAGTTTGCAAACAAACGTACAGTATAATCAGTTACTGTCCGCATTGACGAATCTATAAGCGGATTCGATAAATGATGTGTCCATAGCTCCTGTCTTCAGCACATATTCATTGCTTCATGCGACCACTGTTGTATATGTAGGAAAGATTAGGTGTAAACAGTTGACGATTACAACAAACAAAAACATAAGTTTGGGAGTGTCAGAAAATCGATAAGACGCTTTGAACTATTTTGGCGAGCCTTTTATAAACGGATTCACTTGTTAGTCCCAGTTAATTTGAGACTGACAGTTGATTTACATTGGGCATTATCATTTGAATGAATGTAGTTAGCAACTGTAGGGTGCAAATAAGAAGGCTGGTGTTCGTTTTTAAACCTGGTTATTGTTTTAAATTTTAAAAAAAAAATTATCAAAAAATGGGGTTGTCGGTTCACTTATACACATATTCATGTTCGAAAACAGACTGTCGGAATTTATTGATCGGATAGGTGGACAAGCGTCTGAACGTCTGATATGTTTCATTTCGGACACAACAGCTGTCCAGTACCCTGTGTTGATTATCACAATATTATGTAACAATGAAAAATTGACGATAAATATATATACAATTTATAATATAGTATTGCTTAATCTTCCTGATCCCATAGTCAATAATCAAAATCAATAATCCAAATTAGTTTCTGTTACAACTCTCAGTATCTCTTTCCTCCATAGCCCGGTCCTGATCTGTTTATGGTAATAGTATTTTTACAAAAGTTCTTAGGCTGTTCTTTGATTCTTACAGGCTCAGAAAACTTACTGTATCCCCTTTTCTTGCCACATCAGATAAAATACTTCCCAACATTGATCTCCGGGTTTAAAAGAAAAAATTTCACCTTATTTTTCAAATCAAAAAAAACATATTTTGGATACAGTGGAATTGATGGAACTATTTTGGTCAAGTTTTATTATTTTGAATAAAGAAGCCAAAAACACCGGGTTGCACAATGTATCCTGGATCATCATTTTGCTGCATCTGTACACGTGTATACACGCATTCTATGTGATCATTAATATATGTGGTCAGTAAATAACGGAATCATAGGCGGAGAAAAATTGCGGTCAAAATTACTCACCAAAACACATTTTTGTTACTACGGTAGCGCCAGAGTGATAAGCCATCCACGCTGTTTACACTGTTTGGAGTGGTAATTTTGAATGGCTAATGCCTCGGCGTATTTCAGAAAATTGGTGTGGTCTGTGTTGTAGAGCATGATACAGTGTTTCATTTCGACCAGGTGTTGTGTGATCGACAAACGGAGTTTCCTACGGGTCATTGGTGCTCTCATACGTCCGAAGTTCTGAAGCCAGATAGGGATTTGCTCAGCTACTCGGTAAAGCAGTTGTCTCTCCGTGCTGTTCATGTAGATGGCCAAGCATCCACACTTGAACTGAAGGATACAATCGTATTTGGAGTGAGTAGACAGCGGTTCCTTCACCGATGGTACTGACAACCGGGCGGTTATAAAACCAACGATGGGGTCAGCTGCGTAGCAGGTGCACTCAACGGTCGATTTTAGGGGCTTGGTAATCAAGCAGCCGATATGGTCACCCTTGAAGGGCAGTGGCCTGACCACTCTCATCTTATCTGCATCTGGGGTCTTTTCCCGCGTACCTTTTGGTTGGGAGTGCTTTAAGATGAATATCTGTTAAATTGTAAACTTTTTCTAATGTATTTTCAATGTATTCGGTGTTCAAATCAGTCGCGCCCTGTAGAAGAGTGTTTGAACTAGACCAATCTTATATTTCATTGGAGCAAAACTAGTAAAGTGGGAATACTGTCCGAACATTTCGATCTTTCCGATATACAGATCTTCTGATTGATTCATCCGTTCGATGTGAAAATTCCACATCAAAATTCAAATTCTTTATTTTTATTTTCAAACAGTTCGCCACTTGTGATAAGTTTATTGATAGGACAGCACGTGATCAACGACACAATCTGCGTTCCAAAATCAAAAATCAAGAAATTCTCGAACGTGCTGCCAAACAGCAACTCTTTCCATCACCTATTTACATCCTCAGACAAATACAGCTTCAGTCCAACCCGTGCCTGACCTATTTCTCGGTTGATTGTACCAAAACTGTCATCCAATTTTGGGAAAGATACACATTAAATTGATTTGGACTACTACGATATCGAATTTTTTTCATTCTCTATAGAACTATATCTCATATTTAACTGAAATTTACTTGTGAGTAGTGATGTGAGATACTTGATATTGATTTGAACCGGTCACATTTCAGATTGCACCTTCACGCACAATGCTCAGCTCGTTCAGTCAACCACACACACTTGGGGACATCAGAATCGAGTTTTACTCGTATTAGAGCTCATCACTAGCGCATATCGAACGTTCGGGCTTTGAATTCCAGACCGAACGTATAGAAATCGTGTGTTGTACCATTGTACCAACTAACTCATACCCGGGACTGAGCCCAATTGCCAATTCATGTGTTTTTGTTCCGAGTATCATCTTCAGCGATAATCAGTCAGTTCATGGTTAGCTTGACAGCAACTAAGGATGATACACAGTGGAAAGGGTCGCACAATGGTACCATACACTATTTTCGTACGTTTGGCTCAAAGTTCAAAGCGCTAACGGTGGTACGATGGATATGCAAGACTGATGAGCTCTGATGATAACGAAACTCCATCCTGGTGATTTCAAGTGTGCGTGTGTGTGTGTGTGTGTAAGTCTGTGGTTGACCGAGTGAACTGCGGATTATGTATGAAAGCGCAGTCCGGAATGTGTTCAGTTCAAATCAATATCGATATCTATTATACATGTTCATAAATTGCTGAAAATTCACTCTTTGGTTGATTTCACTGTATTAAATCCCAAAAACTTAGTGAAGCGATCTATCGGGTTTAAAAGAAATGTACAGACCGTTATGTCTTTGAAAACGACCTCATTTGTAATTGCCCCGAGGGGATTCAACGTTTCCAAATGCAGAATTATTTTCTCGCAACATAAGACTCGTTTCTCCGATGTTTTGAGGAACCAAATACTACTGCATGCCACTGACGAAAAGGATTTGGGAGTTATGGCACAGGAGGACGTAGGATATTCCACGCACTGTACCAGAGCACCATTGATTGCTCTAAAGCAGGCAGTTCAAAATAGCACTGTTCCCACGCTTGTGATCAGCGTTTATTTGGCCAAACACGGAATACGTCGTTCAGTTAAGGAATCCATGGTTGAACCGGGACAAGATGGCTCTAGAACGTCCGCAAAGGTGGGCAACAAAATTGGTTAAAGGTTTGTATATAGAGACATAATCCAAAAGACTGCAAATATTGAGGCTTTACTCATCTCAATACCATCGACCTCGGGGTGGTCTATTCTCCATATACCACATACTGCATCACTCTAACCACCCTTATCGTCCTGTGCTGACTTTATCTCAAAATGACCAACTCAGGGGACATCCGCTGAAGTTGAAGTCTTAGAACAATCATTTTGATTCGCCGGCATCACTCGTTTGCAGTCAGAGTGTGCGATGTGGATGGAATTCTCTTCCATCCAATGTAGCGTGTGCTCCTACAGTGAAACTATTTAAATCGCAACTTGATAAAGCATTGGAACACTTAAAATTTCAACATCCGTAAGTGATCACACATATTATTATCATTTTTATTCTCTCTTTATGAATTTATTCAAAAAGTTATGTAAAAATCTTCTGAGAAGTGATAAGTGTTAGCTTTGTTTAATTGTCCATACTACAAGTTTGACTCTTGACTTTATCCTTGTTATTCGATCTAACCTGGCGAATCGATATTCCATGACCTTGTTGAATTATGAACAAACTCAGACGCTTGATTGTTTCTCGTCCTCCATGTTTGGTCATTTATCCCGATAATAGGAACTGATCTGTCCCAATCGGCCGACCCCGTGAAAGTCAAAACTCTTAGTATCACCTATTTCCGCTTGGATCTGATCATCTCTTTGTCAATGCATGTACGGGTACACAACCGCGAAAAGCGACAAAAATTGGCCTGGAAAGAGCAGGTGATGATCAACAAATGTCTGCCAAGTTGGCCAAGATGGATGAAACGTATTGTTTTGCAATTGTTGACCCCGGGCTACTTGTGACCGCCTGATTACTCCGTGTGAGTTGCGTCATCATTGAACCCCACATTTCCAGCTGCGCAAATTAGACTTATCGCTTCTACTCGTGGACTCGATTTGGGCAAACGTGTATATGATTGACAATCCAGTTCTGTCTCACACATCGCGTATACCAGTTCACCTGCTGCAGTTGCGGTAACGCATACATAGGGGCAGAACCAACCGTCTGTTTGTCACAGCGGATGGCTTGAACACACATTCCAAAGTGGATGATTGGTGAAGTCGATGACGCAACCCACACCGAGTAATCACGAACTTACACGTAACCCGGAATCATCAGTTGCAAGGCACATCATGACAATCAAAACGTACAGTGCAAGTAATCGAACAAATACTTGCTCGATTGTAGTGCATTTACCAAGGTCTACCACAATATCTGATAGGCTGAACTGCTAGATCGTCACAGTCCAGTAAAAACAAATAACTTTGATGGTTATTGGTGGGTGAATATACTCTAATCTGGTCTTGAACACTGAAACATCATAGTCAGGTTTATCAATTTTTTCTTTAGCGCAAATTTGGCTGCGGCCAAACAAAGGCTGTCTGGTCGATATACAGAATTGTGGAAGATGATCGATGGCTGTAGCTGTGGGGTTCGAACTGAACACGTCCAGGTGGCTGTTTTGAGGATGTTTCCCAGTGGAACACCACTATAACAGGTGTGTGATGTTATTTAACTGGTGATTCCTGTTCACCCGGTAGCATGCAATGCTTTCACATGGAAGCATCACAATCATCGTGATTCGATAATAGTGCACACGGATCTATACAGGTTCAAAAAACAAAATCTGTATGATTTGTGTGTGAGTTTATCGGCCCAAACGATTGATCCACAAGACAGCCAACAAGACAGCTACGTGATAACTTTTTCAAAGGGCAATTCGTCGTATACCGAGAGCAAATGAAACGTGAACTGAAAAGCTGGGAGGTACAACTGGACAGCTGTTTAGACTGGGGATCGAACCCGGGACCTCATTAGTGGAACGCAAGAATGCCACCCACTCGGCAATCGGACGGCTGCTCAGACTGTTACTCGTTTTCCAGTTAGGTCCATAGATTCGCGCACTGCTGATGAGATCCAATCAGGTCGAAACAGCTGGACAGTGAGGGCTTCCCAGCCTTTCAGTGCATACCTCATTCCGTTTTTGAAACTGATTCCCACACATGCTGTGAATGCAACAACTGACTCTCGAGCATCGGTTGAAAGAGTGACTAGAAAAAGCGAAGCCAGATTGCGAAACTAAAATATCAGATAAGTAGTATGATATGCAATCCAGCAAAACAAATGAATCGTTTCTTAAATTACCTCGGAACCCCCGGGAATCAATTTCATGAAGGGATTAGAAAAGCAAATCATGTTTAAGCAATGATTTTTACTCATCGAGCACACTTTATTTGAACAACAAAGGAATCATAATGATGATGGATACGTCTACGGTTTATATCCACTGAAAATTATATTGTATTGTATTGTGTATAATTTTGCAAGCACCGAATCTTACATTTCAGTTAAAAAATCCATACACGCCAACAGGTTCAAGGTACATACTCCACGGGGATAAAAACTATACAGACATGGGAACATTTTATAATCCAAGGTTAAGACAAAGTTCACCTATTGCTCTCTATTTGTTTGTGAGTAAAGGTGCAAGATACGGGTGTCGGTGAATTTCGATAAGTGTTTATACGAGATGATATTTGGCGAAATCGGGAGCGTGTGCAGGGAGGATTGGAACGACAGCATGTCAATTCCGTATGCAATTGGTGGCTCGGATCTGTGAGAATCCTTGCCAGAAAAATTTCACACAGGAAATTGTGGGATGCTCTGAAAGCTTTAAAAATAACTTGTTGGCAGGAATAGAAGAGACCCGTTTACAGTTTACAGTTTACCAATGCAGTTATGGATGTGGATTGATCAATAAGGATTGCTATCTATGGTTACACCAAGATATTTGACACAGTTCATCATGGATAAAGGATTTTCATTGATCGCTGTAGGGTTCTATCGGATCCGAAAAGAGTGCAAAACTATATAACCAGATCGTCGGTCGACACAGCATAACATCATCTGTCTATTTAAACATACATGCATGAGGACCAGAAGAAAATATCATAAATTAAAGTAGGATATCAGTTCGGGGGTAGTACAGCAGCTTGAAGAACTTCATTCATACTCCCAGTAGATTTAGTCCCTCAAACCCATTACTACAAATTTACCCAAGAGAAAAGTTCA